AATCCCTTCTGGGCTCGGGGCGCCGGGGAGTAAACGCAGCGCCACCTCTCCCAAAGCTCGCTTTTCATGGCTTTTTGGAAGACTCCTCCCTTAGCAAGGCTAGTGCGAAGGAAACGGCGACCTCTCGCCCAAAAGGCTAGCAGGAGAGCTCCAGGCAAGCGCCGGGCGGCGGTGGGGGCAGAGCAGAAGTCGCAGGCCAGCTCCATCCCTCCGGGGAGGAGGAGGAGAGAGGTTCGCCACCCTCAGCCCGGACCGAAACCCTTCCCTGGAGTTAGCAATCCACACTTCCCTTATAGTTGATCTAGAAACTCACTCTCCACCCCCGACACCTCGCCCCCACCAGTCAGGGAGGCATGAGAAACTTAGCGCCAATATTTCTCGACACTCACACCCCAAGAAGCCCACGCGCGGGCGCTCAAATCAAACCAGTCCCCATCCCGAGCCAGCGCTCTCAGATGGGGAGGGCCTGCGGGGGTGGGAAGGGGAGGAGGGGAATGGAAGGCATCCCGGGGTCGCCCGGGCAGCGGGAAGCACATCGCGTACCTTTCCTTGGCCTCGGCGGCCCGGTCTCTTTGCCTCCGGTTCTTAAACCAATTGCTGACCTGGGTGGTGGTGAGGCCGGTGGCCTCGGCCAGCTCCCGCTTCTCACGCGGCGAGGGGTAGGGGTTGTGCGCATACCACTCCCGCAGCACACCCCGCGACTTCTCCTTGAAGCAGTAGCTGGTCTCCTCGCCGTCCCAGATGGTGCGCGGCAGCGGGAATTTTCGGCGCACCCGATATTTGCCCACGGCACCGAGGGGCCGGCCGCGCAGCTTCTCGGCCTCCACGTAGTGCGCCTTCAACCACAGTTGCTGCAGCTTGGGGTGGTTGTGAGGCGAGAACTGGTGGCTCTCCAAGATCTTGTAGAGCTCACGGAAGTTCCCGCGGTGGAAGGCGACCACGGCCTTGGCCTTGAGCACACTCTCGTTCTTGTGCAGGTGGTCGCAGGCGGGCAGCGACCACAGGAACCTGCCCAGGCGCTCCAGGTTCCCACCTTGCTGCAGAACCTCGCACACGCACGCCACTTGCTCCTGCGTAAAGCCGAACGACGGCAGCATCGACATGGCTGGGGCCTGCCGGGGCGCACTGCCCGGGCGCACGCGGCGGGGAACAGAGCCGAAAA